CACACTCTAATGGTTCTCAAGGGTCTGCTATAGTCATACATGCATTAAAAAGGTTGCATTGAACAGGATGCATAGATGGGCCACTTGAACCCAAAAAGGTACCTGATCTCATCACCCAAGATAAACAGCATGCAAAACCCAATGAATGAGTCCTGGCTGCTTCAGGAGATTTGGAACAGGATGTGGAGATTTTCACCCTTAGCTCAACACTGTGGGCTCTTAATTTCCAAGGATGTTGCAACACCTCCCACAGAACTGCTCATATATCCATGGTAAAGTGACATATTTGTGGTTGTGCAATGTGCAACTTGTGCTGACCAAATCAGTAGAGTCATTGAGAGGGATGGCATAGCTCCTGACACCACAGGGGAGCTGAGCAAGCTGTGCTGCAAGGAGGACCATGGCCGTACAAGATCAGCCTGATGTTCACCCCTTTGAATGGTGCTCTGGAAAAGCACAGGGGAGCTGGCAATGTGGTTAACCCTTCAGAATGATCTTTCCCCTTTCCTCGGAAAATCTGCAGGAAACAATATACACGGAGGAGGTATGCAAATGGGCTTCTAGAGAGTGAACATGTTATTTTGTAAATTGGTGATTTGCTTACATCAACTAGTTTAAAAATTAATTGATCTTTCCTCTTTTGCTTTGTTTTGTTTTTTATTCTCTCCTTAACTTTCACTTTTTGTCTGAGGTCCTCCAGGCCTCTGACCTCACTCTCTCACGTAACGCAATGCTGTCAGACCAAACCCAGAGAGTCTGTTTATCTGACAGCATTTGTAAATACTTCAGCCTGATTACTGCAAGCACAACTGGTTCAACATGATTGGGGGGTGTTGCTCTATAAAGCTCTTTAAGTCTTCTGATCCCACGCAATTTAGGAAGATCCTAGGCCACAGTACCAGTCACTTTGATTACATCAACCATATGAAAGAGTCATTAAGTGTGTTTAAGTGGGCAGAGAAGGACTGTGCAGTGATGAGACTTGGCTTTGTTTCTTTGTTTGGCTGGGAAGACCCCAACTGTAGATAACGTGTGCCAAGACCTAACTGGAAGAAAGAGTATTTCTGCTGTGATACACATGCTAGCACAACCCCATGGGGCATGGCACCCGGCAATAAAAGATTAAAGCAGTGTCAAACTGCTCTAAGTTGTGCCAAGAACCCAATGGGCTCCAGGACCGAGGCACACCCAAGAACACAGGCTGCTAGCCATCCCAAGCTCTACGTTCATCTGGACACAACAAACCGGTCACTGTTCCTCTATGTCCCAGCCCAGCTCAAGACCTTGAGACTTGCTTGTGTGCATGCCTTCTGCAGGCACCGGAGTTTGCTCTACTCAAACGTGCCACTTCCCTACAGTTATAGTGAGAAACCAGTCCAACTCATAAGGCCTCTCTGAGCAAATCGGTCTGGAGAAGGGTTGAGAAGTTCTTCCTGTCAACAAGAGGCTGGGGCTTTTTAATTTACTAGGGCTGTTGAATCAATTCTGTATGTGTGTGGCTCAGTCGTTTCCTGGGTTTATGACGAAAATTTGCAGAACATCTGAGGCAGATCACACTTCTTCCATCTCACTTCCAGGTCGTCTGTTTGCAGAGTCAGGATAACAACACAGACTGTATCATGTTCAGGTTTCCTTTGACACTAGCATGTGTAGAATTTACTTCAAATTAAGGGCAAAATTATGCAAGCACACAATCCAAAAAAAGACACAATTTCTGGAACAGCTCCAAGTCCATTCTGGGCTCTTCCCCGGTGCAGAAAAAGCATTGTCCAAGGTCTAGCTGAAGTATATTGAAAAGGGATCGAGGAGGTGGGTTTACAGGCAAAAAGTTTGTTCCCCAGAATTTAAAAGACCAGGAAGAACACGCTTCTGGGAAGACTGTTAAAAATAATAATAAAAAGCCGGCTGCCAATTTAGGTGATATCTGTAACAAATCAAGCATGAGTCACTTCAGGAGAAGACATCATTTGAGAACCCAACTGCTCTTTTTGCTCCAGCGTGGCAGGGGTAACATCTACAGGAAGGATCTCCTATGCTTGTGGACAGCTGCAAACAATGAAACCCACTCCAGGAAGCTGATTACAGGATGGTGGCAGGTAGTCAACAAGAACACTCTAAAATTCTGTTTTCTGATAGCTGGTATTGGAAAGGCTGGTAACATCACACGGCTGCCAGGGTGATAGAATCTCCTTAGCACTAAGTGAAGGAGGACTGCAAGCTGGCACACAGTGACTCTAATCAGAATAGCAATGTGGGAACAGCGCACGGACACGTGTGTTGTTCCTGGCTCAAGATGCTCACGTGGCTCTTGTTTGATCTCCAAGCATTTTAAGAGGTTGTGTGCAGAACGACCTATTGATCTCCTCCATGCTCACGTCTCAGAGGCATGGTGTGGCTCGAGGGCCAAGGCTGGCTCCCATGTTACAGAGTTCAGAAATGCAGGTCAAAGCCTGCATCTTTGCCACCTCTAGTTTCGCCTCCAAATCTATATCATTGTATCTTTCACAAACCACAGCAGCAGATCTCCTGTCTTGGTGCAATGAGGAAGCCATGAAACGTTTCAGCATTTTGCTAGTTTGCAGGCAGGCAAATGTGAAGTCCATTTATCCATCATCAGCCTTCCCCAAGAATCACCCATGTTATTGGGAAAGACATTTTATGGGAAATACTCTGTTCAGTTCAAATGCTTCTGCATTCCTCAGTAACTAACTATTGCCTTCTGGAGTCCAGAAACTCAAAAATTACATCACTTCAAAAGCCAGGATTTCTTATCTTCAGTTTATGATTTAATGATAAAAACACCCAAGGAGAATGAACATCCATATATCTCTCCTCAAGCAATAAGATCAGAAATGACTGCACTGTGTGGAAGGCCCTTGAGTCCCCTGGGTTCCTGTTAACACAGAACTGTCTTTTCTGGCAGATGAATAGTGACAGTGCAGACCTTCAAAGCACCTCCTTTTGGTTAACGCTTTGTTGCCATTCCATACACACCCATTCAATTCCCATCTGGTTTTAGCAATTGGTATCTTGGGACTCATCAGACAAGGAAATCATTTCACCATCTGCAAGTAAGGAATTAAGGCTTTCAAATGATATGAAATAATTAGATCTGTTTCGTATGGCACATAAAATCTTAATGGAATCCATCACTGAGCTTCCCCTCTGTTCATCAGCTATCATAGCAGCCTGGTTTGAAGATAGGCTGTTTCTTCACAAGGCTGGAATTACTTTCGTTAAAACAGTCTACCTGCTGAAGACACTTGATAATTACCACATGTATCCTTCATTAGGAAAAATGGAGCCTTACCATTATAGCTGCGTATGGCAGGAGTTCAGGTAACTCTTGCTGTAATTAGAAATTCATCCGATTTGAAAACTCTTGATTTGGATTCAAGGTCTTCAAAAAAGAAATAGCCTTGAGATCTATGCTTTTGGCACCACCACATTGTTTACAGAGAGAGAGAGAGAAGCCTACACTCCTCCAGGCTTCAAGGGTTCAGCCCTCCCCAGCATGGAAAGACTGGAACTGCTGGGTCTTCCTGGGACTACATCGGAATAGTGGCTGTGACTTTGATTCATCATATGGGGCTTCTCCCACGTTTCCTATGGGGAACACTGGCAAGATGAACTAATAGTGTCACCAAGAAGCCAATGGCAGAGACAACGACCCTAAAGCACAGGTCTGTGGTGTACAAGGGCTGCTCTCACTTCACGCACATGGGAAACATGGAGGACCACAGCATCTGGTTTCTGTCCTACCCGTCTCTTTTCATGTCTGAAGGGGCAAGCCTGGGAGAACTGGAAGATGCTGTTCATCCTATGTCCTTCCCACCACAGCTGATCCTGCACTGGAAAGTGAGAGCACAAGAGCTCAGCAGAATGCATTTCCACATGGTCTTTCCTACTGCTCCCTGCCAAAACAAAGGAGCACTGGGAGAAGGAAGGAGTGGTGCTAAGCATAATCCAGCTCACAACCCTTCCAGGAGGGGTGATTGCTCTGTTCAGATGCATCCTTCAAGGCCTGAGGAGTCTAGTGAGCATCTCACCATGCAGTGGAAGTGGTACTAGGGTGACATCCACAGATGTAAATACCTCTGGTTGTGCATCTCCACGGAGAGGTCTTTGGGTCATGCAGGGAGAAAATAGTCAGCTCTGGGCTTCTCCAAGGTGGGCACAGTGACACCTCAATCCCCAGGTGAGCTCAGAAGCTGACTGCATCTGCTCAGTGAATGCACACCCAGGGCACCAGCTCATGCTCACTCTGCAGGAGCCCGGGGGCAGGTACAGGTGTCCTTTGGGTGCCTACATCTCCAGCACTGGCAATCAGACTGCACTTTTCATTCACAGTCCCCACAGGCTTGCTGGCTGTTATAGGTTTGAACCAGAGGTGAAAAGGTCTCACATCCCGTTCCACATCCCTTGGACTATGCAGCCCCACTTTAATTTCAAAAATAACTTAGTATATCTCCCCAGATAAACAACGCACAGCCTGTCAAAAAGTGGCAGAGGGTGGTGAAGAGCTCTGTGCTAAACCCGCTTCTGGGCCCATGAGGTGCAGACAGGAGAGGTAAGAGGCAGGTCTCAGCAAGGGACCCCCTCCAGTCACAGAGGAGGGAGGTGGCTGTGCACTGGGGAAAGCCTCCCTGTTTGGAGGGGAGGACGTGTCAGCGGTGGATGCGGAGCTTTGACCTAGCTCCAGGAGAGCGAAAGGGACTCAACATTCCCTGCAGCTGCACAACAGAAAGGGAAGAAAGGGAAAGGAAACAGCCAGGACAAACATATTCTTAGAGGAAGAGTCAGGAAAAGTGAACAGTGGCACTCACACAAAAAAGAAAATATGAACTCTCCTCCCCCACCCCTGCCCCTCTAGTCTCCCTTTCTGAACCTGCACAGCTCAAACTGCAATTGCCAGGAGAATTTCAGAGCTATCCCTCCTCCGGCAGTTGCTCCCCCAGCAAAGTAATTTCCATATTGACACAAGAACTACGCTCACTTACTTGCAAGACAGCTGATTAATCCCCTCGATGTAGTAGCATACGCCACCATTGACACAATAGGACTTGGCTGTTTCGTTGCATTTTCTAGCATGCCCGGACCAGGAGGAGAGAGTTGTGGTTACTGCAGGGGAAAAAAAAAACACACACACAAAAAGGCTATATTGTTATTTCCTCTGTTGGGCAATTCTGTTTTCTTAGATTATTTTCAACTAGTTCATTTGCCAAAGTAAAAACCTGGCTGGAGCCAGAGCCCCAGGCAGGAGCTAGTCAGAACCACAGGAGAAGCAACGAGGCATGCCAGAGCCTGCCCCAGAGGGAGCTGGGCCTGCTCCCCACACCTTGGGCAGCCCCCATGCCCATTCCACCTCCTCAGCAGGCTCAGAGGCTGACATGGGTGCCTGGCCTGCTGCTTCTAGCTGCAGTCCACACTGCCAGAGCCAAAGTCTCCATTCTCATGCTCCAGCTCCAGCCCAGCGCCTGCTGGGCACATCTGGGCTCTCGCAGGTAAAGGAGGGCTCCCAGCATCCTGTGAAGCCTCTCACATTTGAGTGATGCTTGGCACACGAGCAACCAAAGAAGCTTGTTCTGGCTCTCTTGCTTTTAGGACTATCTCTGACTGCACTGGGTCCATGCCTCTCTGAATGATGAGTTTGTTCATCAGGCTGAGCACAGCAGGAGTAGCCTGCACTGTTACCTGCACACAGGTCAGGGCAGAGCCGAGCTTACTGTTCATTTTGCTTGAACCAATGCATTGTCCAACCCCATTGTCTTCTGTTCCCATAGGGAAGCCAATGCATTCCACTGTCTGACAGAGATGGGGTTGTGCACAAAGCAGAGCTATTTCTATGCTTTGCCTCAAATAACCATTGCCTTTGGGGTTGTCTTTTCACAGCTATCCAGGGCAGAGCAAGTTGTCTTAATGTGCTCTGCAAACCAGACATGGCAAATACTTCAGCAAAGACTGAAAATGCACATGGCCCAGCAAATAGCTGCTCCCTTCCTAGGGCATGTAACGCCAGCCAGCTGGGAGCTAAATGTGCAGAGCAGTGTACACATACTAGAGCGCATGCTGGGTTTTAGAACAGATGATGATTTGGCCAAGCCACCAAAGAAGTCCTTGCAAAAAACCCTCAAATATGAAAACTCCAAAACTTCTGTAGGGAAATTTAGCACTCCCTTCCAGTTAAGTTTAGTGGGATCTAGAAGCCAAAGCCATCATAATGGGTTTGTAACAAGTCTGTATAATTTATACCTTTATGAGACAGTAGCTCATTTCTTCTAAGGCCAGTGGAGAGCTGCAGGTTCAGGACAGAGGAGCTCTAACTGTGTGTGATAGCACCTGGACTTTCTTTGCAAGGTCTCTCCTTTAGCTATTGCTTGATCCAGCCACTTAAACCAACCCTTAACACCAAATGCCATTTTAAAAATGAGCATGAAAATAAAACCTAGCCTGGCACCATGCAGCTGTGCCCCAAAATGCAGTCAGAGCCAGACTGTGCACAGCCTTCACAGTGCATGTGCATGTGAAGCTGCAGGCTGCCCGGCTAGTAGGAGCTGCTTGCTTTGCTCTGCAGCTCTCTTGGGGCTGGCTGGGCCAGTCTTGTGGAGGCAGAACCAGCAGCAGAGCAAGCAAGGGCCTGCCAGGGAAGTGTGAAAATTGCAGGGGAGCAGGTACGCAGAAGACAGCCATTGTCCCTTCAAACAGTCCCCGAGTGCTGCCTGGCCAGCTCACAGCATGGCAGCTGCTGAAAGCTGCTCATAGGGCAGCCTTTGGTTTGGAGTGCTTGCAGGCTTTTACTGAAGTACTTTAAAAACTGCACAATGAACAGGTTTCTGTTAAAGCTGCAAGTGTGCCATCAGATCAGGGAGCATTGAAACTTTGTGAACCAAAGCACTGGTGCAAATTGAAAGGCACACAGATGAAGAACAAGCACAGCCTGCAGGAAGCCATCACTCCTGCAACCATTAAATGTACCAGTTGCTAGCAAGCAAAATGATCCATCTGGCAAAGTCTCACATCATAAATCCTACAGGAAAGGATTCTGGAGTGAGCCTTCCCCACAGTAAGGGAGGAGCATAGAGGGAGAAATAAAAACAGAGCCCAGAAAGCTCCCCATAGAAAACATCTCAGATAAAAAGGTACCCTTTCCACCAGAAAAGGTGGATGGGAAGATGCAGTGCTGTGTGATGTTGTGATACCAGAGTGTATTACAGTGCTGACCAGCTAGAGACTGCATGGGATTTTCATCCCATATAAACAATTTTGTTCCTTTTAAACAAATAAAAAAGAGACTGACATGAATAAGGCTTGGGACATGCATGTTGTGCACTTCTACAAAGAGAGCTGTCAACAGAGCTATGCCAGTCCGAAAAATACGTGGTTGATCAGCTCTCCTAGAACCATCTTGTTAATGTCGTTATCTTTTAAATCCTGTTTTCTGCAAGTACCGTGCCTTTTCTCCCAAAGAAGCACGAAGTGTTTTAAAACTAAATCACAGAATCATATTACTATGGTCCATTTGTTAGCAGCAGAGATGTACCAAAGGCTACAAAAAGAGGCAGCCAGCCCAGTTCCCTGTTGAGAAGAGAGTATCATGAAATACAGGCCATTATAAGACTATAAGCTGAGCAGTACCAGTCAAACCAAAGCCCTGTCTTGTCTCTGACAGTGTCCAATAGGCAATGCTTAAGGAAGAAGATCAGCACAAGCATGCAATGATGATTTTCTTCTGGCCATTTAGGATGAGCAGCTCAGAGACAACCTAAGCCAGCCACAGTGTCTTTACATTTAATAGCCTTTGATGGATTTCACTTCCACAAATGTATCTAGGTGCTGTTTGAACAAATCTAATCTTGTAGCATCCACAATATTTGTGACAAGAGCTCCAGTGTTATATACACAGTGTGCAAAGACAGATCTCCATTTACGTCTTTTAAACCTGCCCCTTCCTGGCTCTTGTGTTAGAAAAAATAGTGATCATCCCCACTCACTTCCCCTTTGCCACCTGTGGCTTTACAGGCACAGCCAGCATCCCCTTCCCTAGCTGGAAAGCAGTGATTGCTTTAGTAGTGTACAGAGGTTGACCTGGCTGCAGTCCATTTTTGTGCCATCTCTGGTTCTGTTTTTCCCTTTGGAGATGGCGAGACCATCCTGCACACACGATATTTATGTCACCCTGTTTTTTTCTCTGTTCCATTCATAGTAATTCCTAATGTTCATTTTGAGTTTTGATGTACTGAATACAGGTCTTTATCTATTATAACCCTGAAATCTCACGCCTGCACGGTAACACAGAGTCCAGAGCCTCCCAAGGTGCCTGATTGCTCTGGGATGTTTCTGCAGCTGGGACATCCTGTTCATGAGGGAGTAGCTGCAACTAGTTTGGAAGCAAGTATGGAGAGACCTGCCAATTCAGAGAGCAGCTTTGGTGGAGGGACAGAGGGAAGCAAAATGTCTTGCTTAGAAAATGTTAATTGTGCCTGAGTTGAAATGTGGCCCCCTTTGACACCATGTGGCTGCAGATCACAGACAAACAACTTGAAGCACGAGGCCAAGGGAGATTTCAGTGGGTTTCCACCACACTAGCAGGATAGTTCCCAGATTCACAAGTGAGTCCATTCAGTTACTTCATGTTTAGCTGTATTTCCCCATCAGCCTGGGCCAGTGGAAATACCTTAACAAATATCTACCTGGTCCTGAGTCATCTGCAGTTTGATGACCAATGTTGGTAAAGTGAGCCTCACGTACAGTTTATTTGCAGTCATGCATGTTCATTCACCTCTGCTTCAAACACCACTCACGTGCGCCTGGTGATCCAGAAATGACTTCCCACAGCTTTTTTACCTTAACTGCCACATGGCAGATTTTACTCCCTATTGGCTGGTATGGTAGAATAAGTCCATCATTCAGCCTCCAACACAACTCCATCTATCTCAAATGACTTGGAAAGTTGTAAAATTACTGAGATAAATGGAGATCTGAATAAACAAGGGAGTAGTTTTGGGTGCTAGCTGCAATCTGGGTGGAAAGGGACTCATGTGAAGGCAATGGGAGATGATAAGGGGGTTTGCGCAGTAACATCAGTCATGTACCAACTGCCTCCCCAGGTACTGCAATGAATTAGGAGCAGGAAACAGGGAGTGTGCATGGGACAAGCTACAGAAAAGAAATGGTGAAATTAGACCAGTGGGAATAAGCAAGGTGCCCCTGAGACAGAGGCCTCTGCAAACACACAGGCAAACTGATCACAAAGCTTCTGCAAGGTGGAAGAAGGCCTGGAGCAGCTCATCCATCAGCAAGTCAGGTCTCCAGCTGGTCTCAGTCCCAGGGCTGAGAAAAAAGCAGAAGGGAATAAGGAGGTGAGGATGGGGAAAAGAGGGATGCCTCTTGAGGGATGTGATTCTGAACAATCTGAAGCCACATTTTATTGTTGCTGTCCCAGTCAGTGAGGACAGTGCAGCATAAACACATGAGAGATTCAGAGCACTGTAGTCATTCAGAGTGTCTATTTTCCACTGCACACCTAGGTTATTTGGGACTTACATCAGTGGCAGGGCAACAGAGAGGAGAGCCCTGAGCATTGACATTGCTATGTGGACTTCCCTTCACACAATCCACCTATGCAGAAAGGCCATTAATGATCGTGCAGGGATTCTTACACAATTCCTACCCTGCATGTCATTTAACCTTCACAGGCAGCTCACCAGCCTGTTCTCAGAAATCTGGTGAAATACTCCTCCTGCAAAGAGTTAATTAATGCAGCTTGGACTATAAATTATAGTTAATTTTTCACAAACTACAGCTACTGTCGAGGAGAGCAGGGAGACAGTGATTGTTTCACTGCTCCTTTTTTTTTTATAAATAACTTTGACTGGTGGGTTCATAGAGTACAGACACTTTATTCTCTCAATATTTAGACATTCAGTTAGACAGATGAACTCAGCTGGTTGGAGAGTGTATACAAATTGCCTGCTCTGTATATGCCTCATGTACTTACTGATAAAACACAGAATTGCTGAGGTTCCTCTGAACCGAGTTCATCCAACTGCTTGTCAGAAGAACATGGATGAGAAGGTGTCTGGCCACACTATTCCTTAGTTATAGCACTGTAATCCTGGCGC